GAGTGTTTTTGCCAAAAGTTGGAAGTCAACACAGGTTTTCGGCATAAAATGTTGTAAATTTTTAACATAACCGCGGGGTGTGACAAACAGCCAAAAATATGATCTGAAAACAAGCATGAAACTATGACAAATCTAGGAAGCATACTAAAAAGCAGAGACATCACCCTGCCAACAAAAGTGCATATAGTCAAGACTATGGTTTTCCCAGTTGCAATGTATGGCTGTGAAAGTTGGACCATAAGAAAGGCTGAGCGCCAAAGAATGGGGGCCTTTGAACTATGGTCCTGGAGAAGACTCCTGTGAGTCCCTTGGACTGCAAAGCGGTCAAACCAGTCTGTCCTACAGGAGATCAACCCTGACTGCTCTTTACAAGGCCAGATCCTGAAGAGGAAACTCAAACACTTTGGCCACTGAATGAGAAGGAAGGACTCACTGGAGAAGAGCCTCATGCTGGGAATGATTGAGGGCAAAAGAAGAAGGGGACGACGGAGAATGAGGTGGAATCACTGAAGCAGTTGGGGTGAGCTTAAATGGACTCCAGAGCATGGTACAGGGCAGGAAGGCCTGGAGGAACATTGTCCATGGGGTTGTGATGGGTTGGACACGACTTCACAACACAAACAACACCGCAAACAGGGCCCTAATTTTCTCATCATTCCTGTTGTTGACTTACTTCGGATAATTCCACGAGTGGCTTTCCTGGGGTGAACAAACCATTTTCTCAAAGATCAGGGGATTGGGGAGGGGTAGGCAGTACCTTGCTGTTGTCCAGATTCGGGGATGGGGGACAATGGCGGCTTGGTGGGTTTGGGGACTGGGTTTTGGAACTGGGAACAGGTGGCCAAGAGTTTCATCTTTTGGATTTGCTGTTCTTCTTCGGCTTCAAACTCCATGAACCTAGGGAAGGATGGAGATGGGAAAGATTGAGTAAGGGGTCAACCGTCTTAAACCCACACCAGATACACATAGCGTAAACTGAAGGGCCCCCGGGGGAGAATACTAAAAGGGAGACTTGGAGCCAATTCTCACTTTTCTGCCATTTCATAGAAGATCATGCGTTCAAAATTGCTGCTGTGCTCCCATTCCTGCACAGCACGAGGGACCCCATCCTCTAAGGTCATGTTGGGACGAAGGCGGGCCAGTGAACGGAGGACGGGGCTGTAGGGCAGGATGGCAATATTGTGTATCAACAAGATTTCCCAGTTCCAAACAGTCCTCTTCAATGTAATGAGGTACCATCGCCCATTGTAGCATCTCCCACTACAAGACTCATGAGTTCCCCTCCCACCCATCCGTCCTTCCCCAAGCCCTCATCTTCCAGAGCCCCCTCAAAGTACCTTCTCAGCTTCTTGGCCTCTCCAACAGTGTCTCTCAGTGGTTACAGCGCTGTGATAGAAGTGTAATTGATATAAGTGTACAAAACAAGAAGAGAGTAGCAAGGGGTGAAGGAACCAACATTTCGAGACGCACTTTAAAAAAAATGATAACAAAAAGACGAGGGGGAAGTTAGCAATAGATTGTATGAAGACCGAGGAAAAGCAGAAGAAAGCATTGCAGCTTATAAGAGTGGGTTTCCTTTGGGCCAGAATTTTTAGAAACTTGCTTTGGGGATTGGGGTGGGTGCTGATTTTAATTTTGATTCTGCTTTGTTTCTTGACAAAGCAGAATCAAACATTTGACACAAGCACACTTAGAAATGTAGCTGCAGACTGAATTTAAGCAGCCTAGTTTAGAATAGTGACGAGACTAGAAATTCAGGTTTAAATATCCACTCTGCCACAAAAACATATTGACTCTGGCTTAGGTGTTGGCTGTGTTAAACCACAAACTATACAACCACGTATTTGCTTCTCCGGGCTATAGGATTGGTTTATGGTGCAAATACTGGATGAATCCTGAAATTTGTATTCATGGAACAATCACCTATGATTATCCAATTAACTGTAAGTAAATTTCTTCATCCTGGGATGAAGAAAGCAACATCTTAGACCAAGATACCTTACAGAATTGTTGGGAAGATAAATCTGAAGGGAAGATTACTACTTATGCCACTTGGATGCTGAAGAAGAAAGGTGGAATATAAATTAATCAAAGAAACCAACAGCTTCGGGTTGCCCATCCTTAGACGCATAGATCTGAAATTTTAGATGGAGGTAAAGTTGGAATCTCTGTAAAAACTGACTGTCTAACTAGGCTTACCTTAACTCCTGGATTGCAGGTTTCACAAAGAGAAATTTGAGGTGTGGAGCAAACCAGTTTTTCGTTGGCTACCAAAAGCCCCATTGCTTTGGGCCAAGTCATTTCCCTCCCTCAAGTCTATTATTCTAACAGGTTGAACTGAGCACCTTTTGAAAAATAGGATTCTTTCACTCTCTCTAAAATAGGATTCTCACTGGCAGTTTGTCCCAGTGAAGGATAATTTAATTGTCATAGTCTAGGTTCATATATTGCTCGATACTGTGGTTTATCCATCGGCTGGATTATTGCAATGCGCTCTACATGGGGCTACCCTTGAAAAGCTTTCGGAGACTACAGCTAGTCCAGAATGCAGCCGCGCGAGCGATATTGGGTGTACACGCACGTTACACCTGTCCTCCGCGAGCTGCACTGGCTACCAATTGGTCTCCGGTCGCAATTCAAGGTGTTGGTTCTTACCTTTAAGGGCCAGTGTATCTGTGAGACCGCCTACTGCCACATACTTCCCAACAGCCAGTAAGATCCCACAGATTGGGCCTCCTTCGGACGCCGTCAGCCAGTCAGTGTCGGCTGGCGGGCCCCCAGAGGAGAGCCTTCTCTGTGGTGCTCCGACCCTTTGGAATCAACTACCCCCAGAGGTCCGGACCTTACCCACTCTCATGGCCTTCAGGAAAGCTGTTAAAACCTGGCTATTCCGGCNCTCCTCCTCTCCATCTCCTTTCCTATCTCCCTTCTCCTTCTCAATTTCCCTTCCTTCTTTTTCTCCTTGTCTCCGTCTCCTTTCCCTTCACTCTCCTCTTTCTTCCTGTCTCCATTTTCCTTCCTTCCTTCCTTCTTCCCTCCCTCCTTCCTCCTCCTCTCTATCTCCTTTCCTATCTCCCTTCTCCTTCTCAATTTCCCTTCATTCTTCTCCTTGTCTCCATCTCCTTTCCCTTCCTTCTCCTTCTTCTCCTTCCTCTCCTTCTTCTCCTTCTCCCTTTCTTTGCCTCCTTCCCCTTCCCTTCCTCTTTCTCCTTGTTTCTTTTTCCTTCTCCTCCTTCCCCTTCTCCCTCCCCCACTCCTCCTTCTGTTCTTTTTTTTTAAAAAAAACCTTCTGATGGTGAATGGAATCATTTACCACTCTTTCTTTTTTAGGAAGGAGGGAGGGAAGGGCGGAGGAATTTGCATTCTTGCCAACTTCTAATCCTGCTATACCTGTGCTTGCAAATTTATCTGCTGAATCATACCTGGATTGACTGGGATCTGCAAAGCTGGATCAGTCTTCTTTGGAATAACTTTATGCATCCTAAAATCGAACCCTCTTTTCAAGCGAATGCAAGAGAAATCCTCGCAAGCCCAACCTTTGTTGGCTGTGTGTTATGTACACAACTCTTGTTACATTGGATTTACTCCCAAATCAGCTAGCCAAGTTTGCTTTCCTTCCACAGCTAATTCCTGGCCAGCCAAGTCATCTGAAGGAGGTGCAGAAAAGGAGGACGCTTGCAAACGCTAATCTCCGGCTGAAACTGAGATGGAATTTCTTTCTTTTTTTTCTTAAGTGTATTTCTTCTGCCTGAACCTTGTGCAACCCACAAGGTCTACGAAGAGCCATTTCAAATATCTCCTGTCCTAGTCACCCTGTAATTTCTGCTCCGCTTTCCAGCTGCAGACACAATATCATCCCCAACTCAAAGTGCCAAAATCAAAAGTTCTGAGAAGAGAGAAAGGCAGACACACAGGAGCCTGTGGTGTGTCCTTCCATGGAGTTCAACGGAATGCAAGTTTTAGGGTTGGCCTTTTTATTTTTTATTTTACCCTTTCAAGAACAAAAAGAGAGACATTCTACTCTGCAAAACGACCGTTCTGGAAGGATGCTTTCAAACAGGAAGATGGCTCTTTTCTCAAAGAACATTTGGTGGAAGGATGAAGGATGTCCCTCTGTAGCACGGAGGACCCCTTGACTCCACTAGAGTTTGTGGAAAGACCTTCGGTCTATAGAACGTAGAATAGGAGAGTTGGAAGGGACCCTGGAGGTCTTCTAGTCCAACCCCCTGTATCATTTCAGACAAATGGCTGTCCGGACTCTTTTTGAAAGCCTCCTTCGGTGATGGAGTATCCACAACGCCTGAAGGCAAGCTATTCCATTGGTTAATTGCATAAGGCCAGTGGAGAAAACAAATACTGGAACTTCAATAAGCCCTATCAACCTCAACCAAGCCATCAAAAACTACATGTACCATGGAGACAATAACTTGGTCCTTAACACCAATAAGACCAAGCAGCTTCTAGTGGAGTACAGAAGGAATAGATCAGACATCCAGACCTTGGTTATCAATGGAGACGGAGTGGAACAAGTGGCCAGTTTTAAGTTTCTGGGTGTTATCCAGAGGTGGGTTCCTACCAGTTCGCACCTATTCGGNGTAAATCCACCCTCGAAAGACTTTGCTGGATGGGAATGAGCAGAATTCACTGTCAATTAATAAAAAGGGTTTTTGTGGGGCAAGGAGTTGGCTTCGTGCTCTCGGGAAGCCTCAGTCAGAACACTATGACTAGCAATGACTTTTGGCTCTTACGATATGTTAAGATTGTATTTCATGATGATGATCATGATTGGTTACTTGTTGCTTCTATGTACCCTGAGAGCTTATGCCCTGGAGGAGACAAATTCCTTGTGTCTCCAATCATCCTTGGCCAATAAAGAACTCTCTCTGCCTTCTGAACTTTCTTGGACATGTAAACAGGTGTTAAGAGTAGGTGAATCTGGGCAATGTTCCTAACTGCCTAGCACTTTGGTATCCCAGCGTTGAGGTTGCAGGGTTCCTTACCTCCAAAATTTGTCCCCTGCGAAAATGTAAGTCTTCTTGTTTTTGCTCCAGTTAAATACAGCGTTGACACGTTGCACGTCAGGAGGTAGCCCGAGAGTGGTAAGTCTTTTTGGATACCCTCTTTCCAAGGTGCTGGCTGTGTAAATCCAGTATTCGTTCCCTGGGGAAAAGAAAGCATCAAGTTCTCACGATCTCTGTTGAGATTAAGAGGAAAGGAGAAAGAGGTTTTTCCAAGGGTCTTGGATTTCAGGCAGCGAAGCGAAATTAAGTTAATTGGGGAGGCGAACTGGGGGGGGGGGAAAGCACTTCATTTCAAAATTAAGCCCCTGCTCTTTAACATTGCCTCTGCGTGTGACAAAATTGTGCATCACGTATGAAAGGGTTCTCCTACTTGATTTGATCCTTTCTGTTGTTGCCTGTTTTGTGCAATTAGGTTTGGCTAGAAGATGACAAGAAGCCTTGTTCAGATCGGGCTGTAGGAAGTGGCCAAGCTGAGTGTGTGTGTGAGTGTGTGTGTGTGTGTGTGTGTGTGTGTGTGAAACTCATCCAATGAAAAGAACTAAGGGTGGCATGATAGAAGTGTTCCAATGTTTGAGGAACTGCCACAAGGAAGAGGCCATCTTTTGGTTCTTTGGCCTGCCACACTTTCTATTATTCTACTATGCATTTTCTATTGTGGGGAAATGGGAAGGGGGATTGTTAGATGCTACGTAGCCATAACAACATTCTTTCTAGAAAGCCAAGGTCATCCTTTGTCTCTGCACCTCTGCACCTGACCGGAACTGGATAGGTAGAGGCTGCCAGCGTGGCAGTGGGAGATTGGGCCATGGGCTGGACTTATGGGTGTGGGGGCAAGATCTTGAACTTTCAACTAGGAGGGGAAAACAGAGAAGCTTCAGATTCAG